ATTATTTAATCAAAGCAATAAAAATACCTCAATAACCAAGATAAAATAGTTTTCATATTGTAGGAAATAGTAGGGAATATTATTATTATACAGTAAAACCTCGATAAGACGAAATCGCTTAGGACCATGATATTTTTCCGTTTTAACGGGGTTAGTTAATTGTATGTAATTTGAAACGGGATCAAAAAAATGTTCCGTTATACCGAGGTTTCCATCTTATCGAAGTTCCATCTTAAAGAGGTTTTATTGTACCTACATTTTATTATTTTTTCCTAATATTCAATTAGTATCTGATTTTATTTCGTCGATTACAGTCGTCGCCTCACTGTCATGTTATAGTGAATAATACCTATTATATCTAAATTTTATTATTTTGTTCGTAATATTTTCGAAATGACGTCGGTTAGTGCTCGTCTGTGCCTCCTAATCACTTCAGTGGATGTGGAGAGAAGTTTTTCCAACTATAAATATTTATAAACAGATAATCATCGTTCATTTACTTTTGATAACATCAAATACTCAATTATTTTGATTTTTGAGTAATTTGTAAGCTTTGATAAATTTATACAGAATGTTGCAGTAAAATAGAGTAAAATACTTAAAAAAAACGTATTTTTATTAATTTAAAACAAATATTTGTAATTATATCATTAATAAATTGATAAACATCAACTTTCGAATACTATTTATAAGCCACTATTTATAATTATATCATAATAATGTGTTACCGAATACGTGAAATTGGCAATTTCATAAATTCGGCGTAATATATACATGTATTAAATATAAAAAACGGAATAAACACTTATTATATACACAATGATTAACAATACATGGTTTTTTTTATTAGATTTAATATATTATTATTAATTATATATTATAAAATAATTGATAGCTTATGATTTTTTTCTTGACTTTTGAGAAGAAAAATTTTCAATAATATCATTAAAATTAATAGTTTTCGTTAAATCCGCTTCAATGTTGACGATTGCTAATTAATTAAGACGATTTTCTCCCATTGTTGATCTTAAATAAGTTTTGACCCTTTTTAATGTAGAAAATGATTTTTCCGTTGAACAATTACTTGAAGGTGTACATAGTAGCATCCTTAGAGCAATATCAATAAGGATATACTTCAATTAAACTATTTTCTTTTATAAATACTAATATACATTGAAAACTTTTAGGTACAATTTTACTTCTTTTAAAAACTTTTTAAATGTGCCCTAAAGTGAATACCACGTTTTGTGTACCCGAGTTTTTATTATAAATATTGAACGAAAATATTATATCTTATCAAATAATAAATTTAATACACCTATTTTGCTATTTCAGTATTACCTAGGTGACAAGGTATGGGGGCCGAGTGGTAGTAATGTGAAAACAGCATCCACCCGGTCTTTGGATCAAAAGCAAAAAAAAAAAAGATGACTAGGTATAATTTTTTTAATTTCTTTAATTTCATTAATATTTTTTAAAATACTTAACAATACCGAAAAATGTGTGAAAGTTAAAAAATCATAAGCACATTAATAAAAAAAGTTAGAATATTTTGTCGCTCCCAAAAATTTGCCCCTTTCGCACCCCTAAATTGCGCCACTGTGTTAAATGTTAGTAAAGATCTCAGTTGATAAGTTTGTGTAATCGGTAAAGTCATTTAATTTCAATCTCTTTTAGACATTTTTTTTTTCTTATTGTAATTTATTTTTAATTTACTATATTTCAGAGTTCATATACTGTAACATAAAAAAAAATTTTTTGAATGAATGAAATGAAGAGTTTATTGATGACTTTTAATCATCGGAGGTAATTTGTGTAAAGTATAAAGTAATTTCCATGGACGGAATATACCTTGCTTTCCTTTATTTTATAAATGTGAATCTTTACCTACGTTTTATGTTTTATTTATATTATTTTATTAAAATTTCAATGAGCGAAAGGCAAGGAGAGAGAGAAAATATAAGAAGAGCGAAATGTTCTCAGTTTTCACTCAATTTTTAAACTTTAACATTTAAATTGATTTCTTAGGACTTTAAAATTAATTTGCAGTAAAAATAGGTAATAACGCATTTATAAGATAGGTGTTAGTAGATAGTATTGTTATAACACCATTTAGTGCAGTCTTAATCTATAATGTAAACATTGAACCTAAAATTAATTTCTATTTAAATCACTTAAAAATGTTATGTTAATATATTACATATAAAATAAATAAATGTTTTAGGCATAGAATATTTAACCTAATATTAAAAAAAAAAAAAAATGTATTACCTATGTCAACTGCGAGTTATCTTATATCATTGTATTAAATGATTTACCTATAGATATTTTTATTGCGCTTCATATAAGAGATACCTTGTTCAGAAACTATAAGCTTACATACAATAAAACGAGGGACTTGGTTTAAGTAAAATCAAAAAAAGCAATAACCTTTTACAGTAAAAATTATTAAGTATAACAAACAACGTTCAACTCATTTATTTTTAACGAACGGATGAAAAATTCGTAATTTGTATACACAAATATATGGATATATTTGACTGACAATATAATATTATAATATTAAAATATACTCTTTATTTGAAATACAATATGTATATTATACATACGAGTATTACACGGGTTATTATAATACACCGACCTTCAGTGGCAGATTTAACGGTCGTTAAGTCGGTAAATGCCGACGTGACGCCCTCCTAAATTGTGTACCAAGGCTCATTTAAATTATATAGTTGTTTCATTTAAATTTTGACCACAAAAAAAAAAAAAAAATAAAAGTCTGATGCAAACTGGAATAATAATAAAATAATTTACCACTGTTTTAATAATAAAATAATTTTAATATATAGGAATATTTCAAAAGTACCAAATGTTATAACTAAAGACTAGATATAATTGCATTAAAAATATCTTAAAATTGCACTAAAAATATGCCAAAATTGCAATGAAAATGTATCAAAATTGCAATATAAGTATGTTAAAATTGCAATGAAATACATTAAAATTACATAGTAAAATCATATCAAGTATATAATCATTATTTATTTAAATAATATTATAGATTTCAATATAATATTTACAAAATATATAATTTTTTTGAATTAAAATTTATAATTATATACATCTCTAAATTGTGTTCTTGAAAACTGTATCATCTGTTACTTAATATATGTTTATATAATGAAAAAGTACGTTTAACGTCGACACTTGTTATCGATGCATATTTAAAATAGTTTAAAATATTGGGTGATATACCTAAATAAATATTTTGATTTTCTGTCATAATCTCAGTAAGTTTTAATAGTTTTATACCCTTCATCTTTTTCTAAGACCTATTTAAATTTATCTTTAACTATTTTTCCTTTGGGACCGGTAATATTTATAGAAATATTTATACTAAATATTTTTATTTAGTTAGTATTTGTTTAGTATTTATCAATTTATTTATTTAGTATTTACACTAAATTTGTTTAAACTATTAAGTAATTGATTATTTGATTCTTCTAAACTTGTGAGTTTTGTGGATAACTCAGATAAATATAATTTTAAAAATCCTAAACTACATTTAATTACTTGTAAAAATTTACGTCATAGTTATATTTTTTATGTAAAATCACTCTGCAAATAATAATTTGTATATTTTATCATGTGAAATATACAAAAATTGCAATAATTGCAAAAAATTGCATCACTAAATTAAATAGGAATACTGTAATTAATCTGATTCGTAAACATATTTGATCAAATTTGATTTACTGGGTATCAATAAAAAGTTGCAATATCAATTAAATCCGCTCTTTAGTTATAACTAATCGGATTAGAAAAGGTCGAAGAAACTTATATACGTAAATCAAAGTTATTCTACCTTCTACCACAACCACATCCTAAATAATATTATTTATAATTATAATCGATATTATAGATTATATATAGTGGCCACTGCCAAATACTGATTTTATAATCAATTTCCTCATAAAATTATATAACATTAAGTACTAATAATTTTCGGTTAACCTATACAATGCTAATTAGAATACACCAATACCAAGAACTCTGTTATCGTGTAAATCTAAAAATAAATTTTTAAATTTGAATTTAGGATCCAAAAATCAAAAAATATTTCAAAATGAAAGCTGATTCGTGACAAAACGAGCATCGCGCAGATACCTGTTGGAAACCATGTATTGAAATCCCAGCCTTAAATTATCGTTTATTATTCGTATGCGTGAAAAATTGCAGGCGGACCACGTACCGTTTTAATCTGACCGCGTTACCTTTTCACATGTAATACAATTTAGTATAAAAATTGACTTGTAAGAGGTTGCGCGTTTACTTGTAATTCTGTGCTGCATATATTACATAAACGCATCGTTTGTACCATTAAATCTTATTTACTATCGAGCTCTTTTACGCTTCGATCGTTATACTTCTTAAACACGACACATTCGAAGTGAACATTATTTACAGCTCGTATCAATATTCTATTAAAACGCAGTGCTCCGCAAATGTGTCCACGGATCGTATTGTACGGTTTTGGTTTTCCAGCCCATTAGGATTAGAAAAAGTCTTAAAATTCGATCTCTCGTAAAGCTGCTAGAAAAAAAAAAAAAGAAAAAAAAAGAACGGTACACAAGTACGTCAGTAGGTCCACGAGAAACCGTCCCGACATCGCGAAATCGGTATCACCGCGGACAGTGCGGACATCGACGTGGACCCGTCGCGAACTCGAAGCGCACTCGTCGTAAACGCACGTCCGAAACCGCCACCATTTTTTTCTTCTCTTCTTCCCTCGTACTTTCCCGAAACCGAGACCGTCGAGTGTGCCGGCGTTTATCGCAAGACGCGCGTGCTGGTTACGTTTTTATTATCACGACGCGAGCGCGCGGGGACGACGCGATATCGTCCGCACGACTTGTCCCATACCGCGCCGCCGCCGCCGGGGGGCGCACGCACGCATGGGATTTGCACGGGCGCGCGCATCGCCGGGCCGTCGAGGGGTGCGCGACTCTGTGTGCCGCGGCAGTCGGTCCAGCAGTGTGCGTCCGTGCCGGTCGTGCACCCCCCGTTGCCACGAGAAGTTCTCCCTTTCACGGACGCTCCCTCGTGTGTGCAGAACTCGGTTTCATGCTCGGCTCCGCGCAGCACACCCGCGCGCACGGTGCACCGCGGCTACGTACGATCATTCGGGTAAATTGTTCATTACTTTTTTTTTCATCACTTATTTTTTCTCTATCTCTATCTATCTTTTTTCCCGTCTTGGCGGTACCTACACGGTTTCAACGGGTACCCGCGAACGTGTGTCGGTGAAAACGATCACGTGGTCCCGACGCCCCCCCCCCTTACCATCACCGAACTTTACGATCTTACGTCGTCGTTTCCGTGCCGATTGACACCCCCGGACTAGCGTCACGAGTTCGTATCCCTTTCGATCGTTTTCCGCGGTACGCGTTGTTCAACTGTTAGGTGTCCTCTTGGTTGACAGCCACCAACACGTTATCCGGTGATAACAGCATTTCGTTCGCAAACGTTACTACAGTCATACACACAAAGCCATTTACGTTTAAACATCAAATACACTTTTCGCCCGAAAAAGCTCTTTTCTACAAGCGCAACGCTCACATTTAATTTTCTCGTTCGCGAACCCTCCATAACGCTACTGCGTTTTTACCGTCCTCCTTCCGAAACATTGTCTTCGATAATTAAAATCGATTGTCCCGAGTTGAGTTGCAATCGAAAAAATGTATTAGAGCTGTCGGTGATTATTATTTCAGACAAACCTGGTCCGATTTAAATTTTACTTGCACGTTGAGATGCCAAACAACGAAGTAATTTAATTGCATGCAGAATATCATGCAGGCATATCAGATATTTAAATATTTGTCTTGATTTATTTTATTTTGGATCAATTTTGTCTACAAATGAATTAATGGCAAATAAAATTATTTTAGTAAATGTATTTTTTAAGATTCCCTTATTGCTGTTCATAAAACGATATAATTGTTATAAATTATATAAGTTTATAGCCGCATCAATCGTATGAATATGTATACGAGTAAGATATATATTATATTTTTAATTCGCTTAAATTATAATTCATGCTTTGTTCGTACGTCTTACTTTACCACAGGTAAATATTTTTTTATTTACTTTAGTTTTACTTCAATAATTTATATCCACAATTTTCTTGGTGGTATCATTAGTTGAAAATGTAGTACTCAAATATGAGATATATTCTGCAATGCGAGAAAACTGTACGTATTATTGCGAAAGAAATGTCTTTTTAAATATTGTATAGTAATGTATATTTTGACTAAATCTAATTAAGTGTTATAAAAATTGAATATTTGAAAACAGCAGCTATGTTTAGTTCTATTAAATGTATTAAATAACATGCAAAATACTATATATTAAAAAAAGTATCGACCAGAATGATGATTTATAACAATGTGTTTATTTGTTTTCTAAAAACCATACATTTTCCAGTAAAAATTTTCTAAAATACTTTTGTAATTATATGATCGTAAGCCGTGGAACTTAATAAAAATGTGATTATTTCAATTACATAAAAAATAAATTACTAAATGTTTCATAACTTATGAAAAAATAAAAAACATAAATCTGCGAGGTTTTAATACTAATTTTAGGTAGGTACTTTGCAAAGAAAAAAACTTTTTATTTTAATGTATTATAACAGTATTTAGTCTAAGAAATTATTTTTAGAACTAACATAATAAGGATTAGTAATTACATGGACATTTATTTTTCAATGGACGGTAAGCTAATGAGCGATCATTTATCAATAATTTTTAAATCGATTTCTTTGGTAATTCACAACACAAAACGATATTGATTTGAATTACTTGTTGAAAAATTCAACAGAAATTTTTATGCTTGAATTAAAAAGTCTATATTGGTTATTAAATAAGTTTTACTAAACACTTATTCTATGAATTCTGTACTTGCAAAATTACAATGATTTTACAGGTTTCTTATAATATAAATTTATTATAATTTAGACACACATTTATGTATATGTATCGATAATTATACAAAGTGTTTTATACATATAAGGTTTTTTCAATTACCAATTCATTTTTCTAAATTATGTTATTAATTTTAATATTTTATTGAGGACCTTTTTTTAATTTCAAACCGTTATTTTAAGTGCTTGTTATTTTAAGTGAATATTAACTAGAAATAATAAAGAGTACAATTTTAATTTTAAACGAGTAATTTTTTCAAAACGATGATTTGGAAATTAATAAATATTTTTAATGATAGTGTTGGTTTATAGATAATTTATCTACTTGCTAATTGCTCATCCATAAATTCTTACGACATAGTAAAATACCTGATAACACTAAAAATAATGTCGTCATTTCACTTACCATTTTATTATTTGAATATATGTAACGTATTGGATCTATTTCTACTGTGCTAAAAATATTGACAGCCAAATGTGATTTGAAAATTAATTTTATATGTTCGAATTTGAAAGATATAGAGTTTTTCATAATTAATACATTTGATAATATAAAATTGGCATTCACTAATTACTTACTACGTCTAATATATTAATTCATGATGTATAATTTACAAAATTATAATTAATCACGTAATTTAACAAAATAATTAAGAGTAATATACAAGCCTCCAAGTCACAGGATTCTCAAATATAAATATTTATTAATTCTTTGTATTATCCTGTATTTAAATTTAAAAACATTTAAGAGTATGGTATATTTAACTTTCACGTAGCTAATTTGTTAATGCACTTTGATATATTATCGATGCCATCATATTTGAATACAATTTATAAAATTATGATGAATATTGTATAACTATTTGATATTACATTTCAATAATACCGAATAATTTCAAATCACCGACTTTCATCTATCGTTCTTGTATATAATTTAATTAATTAAATGGTACCTTAGTTGTATTATAAATTTATATCGAGCAAACAAATGATTTTTTAGGTAATAACAATTCAATCAATTGCAAAATAATACTATTCTTTTAATTTGTTTTGTTTATTGAAAGCGGTCATTCTAATTGTATACCATTGACTGATTTACATAACGCTGCTGATCATGATTTTGACTTATATGCAAAAATGCTTACTAACAGTTAATTTTTATATAATTGGAATTTATTTCCATTAATAAAATTATTATTATTAATATTATATATAAATAAAAATCTACTCAATTAGATTTGATATCTATATTCAATTTTAATTCATAGATCTGTACTTAAATTAGAACAGAAATATAATTGTTATAAATATGAATATGTTATAGGTATGAATATGAAGTTGAATATTATCAATCTTCGGAAAATATTTGATGTTTAATTGTAAAAATACAGTAAGATATACACTAATTTCAGGTGTTAGATCTATGTCAGGAGTCAGTAGGGTTGATTGTATAAATTTAACAACAATATGATCACAGAATTCAAATAATGATTCTGGAATAATTTCTGAAAATATACAATACATGATATACCAATAGAATATTTTATCATATATAATTGCAATTATTTAGTCCTGTTTGGTATGATTACAGAACAACGAATAATAACAGCTCTAGGTGAGATAATAGAGTTAATGTTGTACAAGGATTGTAGATGCATGTTTTCTAAAATGAATATTAAAATAAATGACAAAGATTAAAATAATTAAAATACTGATACACAGATTATTTTTGTTTTATTTTGAAATATTTTGAGTTGATTTTATTATATATATTTGAATATAAACTATCATTATTGTTTATATAACATTTTTATCAGAATATTAAAAAAAAAAAAAAAACATCAGTTGCAATTTAAAAAATTAAAAGTAGACTACCTCAACCAAAATAGGAAACATTTTATAAAACTAATATTAATGTTTGAGTATTATTTTATTAGCCATTATTTGTAATTTTTTTTCTTTTTAGTAGCATTTTTATTCTATACTTATCTAAATAATTTGGTTAATACAAATTTAGTGAAAGCATTATCTGTCGTTGAAAATATTTTCCACTGATCATTTTTACGTTGGTCTGGTTATCGTTGTCATTTAATTTATAATCGTATAAAAGCTGGAATAGTTTAAAATATCAGTGAAAAAAAAATTAAGATTGTATTCAATACTTATACTGAAAATGAAGCACATGAATTTTTCGACTTTTTCATTTAAATAAATAAATTCCCGGTTTAATGTTTTTAAGGTGACCTGTTTTGAGAAGAACATATAATCAGAAAAGATTTATTTATTTTTTGAATTTTTTGTATACAATTTATATTTTTTGTACTTTTTGCGGTGTATAATTTTTTTATAAAAAAATGTCTAGAATTGTTATGTTAACCACAATTCTATCATTAAAATAATAAATTATTAATTAAAAAATATTTTATAATGAAGACATTACAAAGCTGTACTGCCCAAACAAACACAAATGAAATGACTGCCTGTCTTCCAAAATATAATATTATAAATTATTCCATAATATAGTCTAGACATATTAAATATTTTTTTTTTATGAAAATCTCTTTTTCAAATAATTATTTACATATTCAAAACCTCATCGATTCTTATTCAGATAATTCAAGCATATTTCTTTGAAGCACTATTTTATTGACTTTGTATTTAATATTTTAATGACTGAGGATGAATTTTTAATTCGAAATTGATCGTATTTTATAAATATAATAATACTACAGGTTAAGTATTTATTTATTTATTTTTATATACAAAATGTTCGCTTATGTATTATATTTCTTTCAATGACCCTTTAAAAATAAATTTAAATTCAAAAACCACTCTCATAAACTCTTCAACCGAAGGCACTTTCATTATTACATGGATCAATTTAAAAACTTGCATTAAATCTTCAATAGATATTGATTTAGCAGTAAACAATATTAATTCAAGAAGTTACATAGAAATTATTCCGATTACAATAAACAGTTAAAAATCCAATTACTCTTTAACCTTTCATATTCAAAACCTATAATAACAATAAAAATCATAGAGAGTGTTTTGGGCAAAATAAATTATAACATTACATTTCTAAATAAGAAATGGTGGATCATAATTATTCATCATTATCTAAGTTAGATAACTTTATATTATCCAAAGGGAAAGGAGGATTATATACATTTTTTTACTCCTACAGTTTAATACCAAAATCGTTCACGAATCACTAATGAGTGAGAAAAATCTAATATATATATATATATATACTTAGTAACTACCCGTCTCAAATTGTTATTCGATTTTTTCATCACATCATTGATAAGAAGCTCTTATGGTTATAATACACCAATATAAATTAAATATATACTGAATGTAATGTAATAAATTAACTTATTTTGATTTTATAAGCCAGATTAGACTTAAAAATAAGTAAACTAACTATGATATTTATTGTTTATTACCTACTATTCTTATTAAAATTAAGTATCATATTTTATCTTCTATTATTTGTAGTTACTTTATAACTATAGTACTTGAACTATTTGTCATCAGTTCAAACAAAAGAATAAACAGTCAGAAAGATCATTATACGATTTGATCGTTTGGTCTTGTCCGATCCATCGTCAGCCAAATCTCATAACTCGTGGTCTAGACTAGTCCGATTTCTAAAAATGTTGATTTGGTACAGGGCGGTAGTCTTTTGAGTAAATGAAAAAAAAATGATCCGGTTCGGCCCAGCTCATTTTAATTTCATATATCTGGTCTGATCCTGATTATACAGACAATTTTATTAGTCTAGTCCATTCTAAGAAAGAACGGATCATACAGAGTACTTTTTTTATGTTTATACTATCTTCGGAGTTAATGAGGAAATTCCATATAGGTACTCAAAAAAAATATTGTAAACATATAACGACAGGTATTTTATGTGGATTTAGACATATTTATCATACTTTATTATTCTACAAACAACTAGTAGTAATTCGATAAAACATTCATATTATGAAACATAAAAATTGATAGTAATAAAACGCACGACTTAAAATGATTTTATTTGTAAAATGCGGAACAATTATGTGCATTAGCTGTTTTCCGAGTATGGGTACTTCCGAACTTGCAAAAATTCAGTAAATTAATGAATATAATTTTTTTTTCAAATAATACATTCAATACATAGGAGTATTTATATATATACACACACACACACTACATATATTTGTTTAAAATTGATTCCAGGAGCGCACAAGCACGTCGCGAACGTGACGATATATTAGTATGTAATTTGTGAACATAAACGGATTAAATTTCGATCCTAGAATCCTGTTGTTTCTGTTATCCGTAGTAGTCCGACATTTATTTATTTGAAGATTTTGCTAAGGTACAGCCGAGACTGAGGGATTATCACACGCGCCACTTACTACTCGTATTTTGGGTACATTTTGCCGCGTCAACGACAAGAAATAAATTACGCTGGCATTCAGATTATGCCATTAATATCATCAGTGTGTATGTACACTCAAATAGTATTGTTTTAACTCGACGATAAATGACGCAAGTCACGGGGACACAAATCATCGTTGCGTTTCTCTATCTCACATACCTATATAGCCATATAGGAATTATTCATATTTGCGTATACGTATATTATTCCCGTCGTCAGAATAATAATTATTACGATTTGCACATGATTTTTGGCGTATCCGATGTTTTATTTAAAAAAAAATCGCTCTGGTGGTTTATTAAAGCTTATGCGTATCATGTAATTTGATTGATGCGTGTGAGTATCAAAGTAAAAACCGCTGAAATCGTTCAAGTAAAAGTTCATAGATAAAACTGAAATTAAATTAACGGGACTATTAATTATAATGTACATTCGAGGGTATAATATGGAAAACTAATTAATTTAGTTATATTTACTAAAATTTAAATATATAATAATATTCCATTTCCGTAGATACAAGTCGGTAATATTTTAAAATTAAAATATCAGCTGAACGAAATTATTAACAGTCATATTTAGTATTGTATTAATGTTAATTAAGTTGCTTTGTTTTACTATTCTTGAATTTTCATGGATGTTTATACAAATAAATAAATTAATAATCGATCGGCAGATTTAAAATGCTAACGTTCCAATTAATTTTATAGATAAGACTAGTAATAACCTAAAGCTTATTTTTACATTTTTCTGCTAATTTACAATTTATTACCTAAGTGTATAAAAATAAAATAGTAATGTCTCTACCCAGTAATTGTTTGTAAATTTTTTAATATAATATAATGTAAAAATGAAATTTGTTAAAGATAATTGGTTTTATATATTTCAGGTTCAATTAATTTGAATAAAATGAAGATTCAAAAGTTAAATGCTTTGCTCCGAACATCTTTACTGGTCGTCCAGTTGATTATCATCGCCTTGAATATATGTTTGATAGTTGTAGTGATCAACAAAAGAAAATGCAGGGTAAAATATTTATTTATTTTTGTTAGTTCTATATAAACCATTCTAATTTTATCATATTATTTTATAAATTATAAACTAAACTACGAGAAAAAAATTAATAGAAAAAAATAAATACTGCCAAATTACCTACTTTTGAGATATGTAGATTTTTTAAATTCAACTGAATAGTAATTTCTAATATTTTAACATTGAAATATCAGTTATAAGAAATTTAAAAATAAATCAAATAATTTAACAGTATTTCGCTGTATTTTTTTTTTTTTTTTTTTTTTGTAGCTTGAATGAGTAAAATAAAAATAACTTGCAAATGAAAACTGATTTTTTTTCAATCGCATATAAAAATTTGCGAAGAAGTTTCAAAGGTTTTCTTTATAATTTTATTTTAATAAATAAATTAATTAATTTAAATATTTATAGTTAATAGTTATTTTTAAAACTATTTTACAGACAATTTCATCAAGTATGTGGACTTTATTGGTAACTATTATAATGGGCTCAATCATATTGGATATCGAAGTAAGTCGAGTACAATTAAAAATGATTAAATATTTACTTCTTCAATTATTTACACTTTAATTTTTAGTTATATTTATAAAATACAATTGTATATTGCAATTAAAATAATTTTTTAGTTTTATTATATTTATGTATGACTAATATAGGTAACTATAATATAATAATAAGTATTATATAAATATTTTTTTTAATGAGACAGTATGATAGAATCTGAATCTTCATTTCTCTTCTCCGATAAGATTTTCTTCGTTATTCGTTTTTAGTTTTAAGTTTTATTGAACATTACTGTAAATAAAATCATTAAATAAAGATTTAAATGAAAAGTTTAGGACTATATTTACTCAAACAACACACAAATAGTTAATAAAATATTTTGAGATGATTTTTTTTTGATTGATTATTTTAACTAATTATTTTCAAACACAGTTATCTTTTTTAATAGAAAACTCATCCACTATGTTGGTTTCTTAATATTATATGTATTTTTCTTAAAATCATCTTAGCTGTATGTATCACGATAAAAGTCTGAAAAGAAATTTCTTAGAGTTGTGTTCATATTTGGAACTAATTCTGGCGTTTGTATAGAACATTTTACTACGAAACATTATTTTCACTAAGTGAATTTAAATTTATAACTAAATTATAAGTGCTCAGGACGGTAAACGTTGATATTACTCGAATTAGGTAGTGCAAGCACCTGTCTGGTGAAATCGAATTCCCAGAATGGTATTCTTTTAAAAATAACAAAACGCATTCTAGAAGTGCTTTAAAATCCTCTTTCGGAATATTTACATTGAGATTTTACATTTGCAATGCTTTTTAAATATTTGTAAGCGTTTTGAAACGTTTCAAACGCATTAAATTCTTGTATTCTCATTCTGCATTTGAAATAATATTTAACCAGAAATCAGTCTCAAATAGGAAGTATAATAGTAGTAAAATACGAGATAAAGTGCCGCGTAAAAACAAGATGATGCAATCTAATAACTAATAAGTATTAAATACAAACATCGGAGTCCTCAATGTTATTCTAGCAACGCATGATAAACTGTGAAGAATATTTTTTTTTATTGCTAAAGACGAACTAAAAATGTTTACAATGTTATGAACCATAATAATTTATTTTAAGTATCCTATTTGTTTTTATTATTATTATTTTATCAATTAATCTTGTAGTTATTTTGAATTTTCATAAAAAATAAAATATTTAAAAGTGTATGGCTTACCTACTTATTGGCCTCAGATAACTGTTCGTGAAAATATTTTTGAGTTCTGTAAAAACTTGATCTATTAAACTGTGAATATGCTTGATAATTTTATATGGCCTCGTAATTATAAATGTACAAAATGTAGATCGAAAACCTTGTATTTCTTTAGGATCGCTGAATACTAATAAAATAAGTTTATTTTTCTTACTTTTTTTTAAAAAAATGTTATGAATGTAATTTTTTTTAAAAAAAAATGTAAGGACCTAAATATTTTTTATCTTAGCATCTTAACTAGTTTACTTTATCATATCACTCAAAAATATAAATTATAAATAACAATGTATATTATATCGAAATCTTAAATGTATAACTAAAAGCTTCAAACATTTTTCGTTGGAACAAAATTAATCACCGAAAAACTTATTTTTAATGAACTTTTTGTGAAGTTGTTTTATGTTACTTAATTTCTGTTAATTTTAAATTTAAATCAAATCTACAATTAATATGTTAGTTCACTATTGTTTTTTATTAACATTTATTAATATTTCACTGTTTTAATTTAATTAAAAGTTTGACGCGAACAATATTAAATTAATAAATCTAAATCCTAATTGTTTCTTAAATTTCTCTTTATGTATGATCTGAATGAGTTTTCAAATTTTACGTTTAAAACCAGATTTATAAACCAAAAGTACAGAATAAATTTAATCATTTTTCGTTTCAATTAGAATTTAAAAATCATTGTTTACCAGAATATAACACGACAAAAACGTCCGGTGGAGATAATGGTATTATATTTGTTATTATTGCACCTAAAGCACAGTAGAAATTGTTGATGTCTTACAAATTTAAAAGTGTAACATTATACCTGGTAAAATTTCTCAGACAATTGAGAAAGTATCATGCACGATAATGGAATTAAAACCTTGTAGAAAATGTATTACACATTTATAATACATTATACTCAATAATTTATAATAAGCTGTATTATGATACTGTCAAGTAAAGTGGGATGTTTTAGTGACCCCCTCCTACGATTTATGAATAAATTAAACGCGTTGTCGTTTAATTAAAGGTATAAATCCTTTTACTTTACACACAACCCAAATGTACATACATTTTATTGATTTATTTTGCGATTTCTTACGTTTTCTATTGACTGCATACAACTTTGTGTGTTTTCCAGTCCATCCACGGGGAAAGAATGTAAACACAAGTGATTAGAAGCAGTAGTGTGATGACAGGTGTTTGCCTGATGCAATTCTGTCAACCGTTAAAAATATACGGGAGGCGTATAAACCCCCGGACTGTAGGCACAGGTCCTGAAACTAGGCTTCAAAAACTTCCTATTTTGTGTATAATACAACTACAAGTAAAAATCTCCGAATAGTTTTATTGATTATATGACAAAACTGTCGGTTAATATTACACAGTGTACAGAAATACTGTTTAATGAGATCGCGTTGTTCTTTTAAGGGTGAGTAAGTGGGCTAGTATTATATAATTTCCTTAGGGTCTAAGATATCGCCACCATGCCCTTGATTGGAAGAAAAAATATAGACAAGTTCTGGAGGTGACGTGGAAAGAATTCTTGTTCGAAGATTTTCATTGTAATCGGGCCTGAAAGTCAATGAGCGGTGTTAGTTCTTGATGAGTCCGACAATCGATGTTCTAATCGTGCAAAATATAATAAATGGGGGTGAATTTGCATTTACACACAAACCAATATATGTTATATTAAAACTAAATCAACAATATAATACATACCTTATGAAAAAAAAATAAAATCTAGTAAATATTTTCATGTAACATGTATTATATATTATGAGTATATCCGGTAATCAAAATAAAGGACTAATTACGTAATTTACTGGTGATAATTAAAATTAGTCACAATCGTCTGTTATCGTAAATGTATTTACAAAATAAATTTCCTCGAATGAACTGAGACTTTTATAAAAAAAATCATAATTATGTTTAGATTTCTCTCAATTCACCATCGTACATAAATATATAATAATTATACAGATATCTAGAATGTTCAATAAAACCTAAAATATTTATCATTTTGATCATGTAAAAGAATGCATATAAAAGCTTAGCCTAGAGCAGTGCTTCCCAAACTTTTTTGACTCACGGCACCCTTTTTGATTTAAGGTTTTTTCAAGGTGCCCTTCTCTAAATCATAGCATGACTAAATCATAAGGAAAATGTTAGACCCGATACTATTTCATGTCGGCGTGGTGCTCTTATACAGATATCACGGTGCACCGGGGCGCCGCGGCGCACACTTTGGGAACCCATGGCCTAGAGTATTATAATTGTATTGTATGACCGGTTCTGAAATAAAAATTTATTTTCAAGTGTATAAAAGTGTATTATCGCGATTGAATATTTTTTTTTTTGTATTCAATCGCGATTTAATTGACTTGTACACTTGACGATGAATTTTTAATTCGGAACCGGTCATACTTTACAATTATATTAATACTCCAGGCTAAGCTTTTATTTATTTATTTCTATATATAAACTATTCGTTTATTTATTTATATATATATTTTTTTATGTTGGTATACATTTACATCATAATGTAATTATTTACAATACATTTGACTAATATTACATTTTACAAAAATATTGTACATCATTTAGCGTCATGTATAACTTGATAATTGGTTTACATAACAGTGTGGTGTACACTTTGTGAAGTTGACGATGTTGGGCTTTGTATGCTACGTATTACAGAGGCGTGCTCAGGATCAAAATGTAGGACAGGCCCAGTTATAATTATTTTAATTTATATAAGTATACATTTTTTTTATTTTTTCGTAAACTTTTCTTACAATTTTTAAATGATAATAACCAATATTTTAGAAAAATAATCATATAATATAATAAAGTATAACACAATTCTTCCGGTTTGATTTGTTAATAATATTTAAAGATATTAAAAAGTTAATAAAAATGATGAAGAAATATTAATAATAACTATTTGAAAACAGGCTAAGCTCAAGCCTACCAGGCCTACCCTCTGGGCACGCTACTGACGCATTGTATTATGTTTAGTGGTTACATGCATAGAACTATTTGAAAAAAATATTTTACGATGTATGGAAATATTTAAATTAATGTGTGGTTTCAATTGCAATAAAAATGTACTGATATTTTCTCCGAAGGTGCTTGTCCAATACTTCACGCCGACACTACCACTGTGCCTCTTGTCACCGTGGATACGGGAATTAGGATTCGTCATATTATATGGTGCCATCGATCTGAAGTTGTATAGGTAAGTTACATGTAAATTTATTAAGCTGTACATTTTTATTAACATAGTACGCATGCCATTAGGATTTTGATGCAATTTCGAACCCGAAAAGCACATTGCTGGACAATCAGCGATAAAGATCTGTTGAAATACCTGATGTTCGCAATTGTTGTGGTAACCGTTTATCTCGCTGCCTGGACCGCGTCTAGTCTAAACTTTTTCAACGAAGGTTGGGTTCTACTAATCAAAATTCAAACCAAAGATGGAATTCCGCATTTTATGTGCAAACCTCAGTGGTGGAATCACGTTACGGAATTCGGTAATTCAAGTATTTATATTATTTTTATTACATGTTGTTATTTTTATTTATTAGAACGATTGTTCCACGAAAATCATATTATTTGATAATATGATTGACCGTTTCATATTACCATTATAAATTCATTTTCGAAGGTATATTAAAAAAAGTAATCTATACATCAATATTAATTCAAATTAAGTTAGAAATATTTTTATAAAAGTATCTTGTTAGTATATTATTACAATAAGATACTTTAACCTCTTTGTATTTTTTTTTTCTTTACTCACGAAAAAAAATATTAAAATAATACTTCATTACTAACAATAAACAACTAATTTATCATTGTTCTAATTATACTTATATAATACTAACTAAAAACCATAAATACCTACTACTAGCTATTTTATATTGTGCCTACTACAGTTACAATTTTTAATCATACCGTTTGAAACATTATACTTTTGGATGTTTTTATATTGCGACGGAAACAAATTAAAACCAAATAACAAATGTTATTTCAAATAATTTCGTACACCTCTTGGGTATAATTACGTTTGCTTTTGTTAAACATTTTTGTATTGATATTTTAGGAATGAAATAAGTTTTATGGTTGAATAGGTGAATTTAGGGGTGTTAACAATATATCATGGGACATACAATTTGAGAAAAATATTGTAACGCTTTTGTTATAAGAAGTTTGGTAATACAAAACATTGATGAAATATGTGTGTAAAGCACAACAAACATAAACATTGATTTAATTTTATTTCAGTTCGCTGTTTTATTATTTGAAATTAAGTGGAAAATATTAGAAGTGTACAGTGATTTTTTCTCCATTGTATCATGGAACGCAATAATGTAATTAGCGATAAGATTTTAGTACATCGTTATACATAAAGTATTCTCTGGGAGAGGGAAAGGGATCGTAAAACCTCTCTACAAGTAAATCGAAGGGAAAATGCAATTATGCATTGGAAAATTCTCATTATTTTTAAACTGCCCTGCATCTGTTTACTGTCTATATTTTTACGTAGTATAATGTAATATTAACATACGCTTTCACTGCAGTCGATCGTTAGTTAACGATTTTGAGCGTTATGAAACATCAATTTTTCGAAAACACCGCGCTAGTAAGCGAATTTAATCTGCGTGATCAAGTGAAACATTTTTAACCAATACACGCGTGCGCCAAAGTTGAACATTTAAATTAGTCAAAACAGAATGTTGTTTTGGGACTTTTACGGTCAGTGTTTTTCAATTCACCATTTCCACGTATCATTTTAGATTGAAAAAATACAAACGATGCAAGTAACTATACACTTTATACACTTATATATCTTTTACACGTACACTGCACAAAATATATCAATCATTCGGCTTAATGCTGAGCGTGAAATGTGAACACAATAATAAATCATGAAAAACCACCGATCATTAATTGTACGACTGTTCGGATCGTAAATCCTAACGACCACTAGATACATACATACGTAATGCCTTGGGATTCTTAGAATTTAATTTGAACTCTTAAAATTTGTTACAAGTGATTTTTTTAAATATTTATCCTACGATTTGATAACAGATGATACATCATTACTATACAACACTCGTGGAAAGCGCATCAATACGTTTGACGATTCATAAAATTTTTAGTGTTTTACTTTTAAAACAACAATTAAACAAATGATAAAATATTTAGGTAGGTGCCGCACAAATGTATATTATCCTTACACGATACACTGCTTACAAACTGTATCGTTTTTCGCGTTATTAGACTGTTATTTTGTACAAATCATGACTTATGCGTCTTATGAGCTTTTTTTTGACCGTTCAAAAATTAAATAGTTCGTATTGACTTAACACATAGTTATAAAATAGGCTTTTCAAATATTTTTAATTTGTATTGTTTACTGCTTGAACTTAATGTTTATTGCATACTAAGAATATACTATTGGTCGAGCCGTGACTGAACATGATTGGTAAAACCGTTCACTTGTAATATTAATGAATTATTTTTTATGAAACAATATTAAATAATGAGACGATCAATTTTAATGCAAGTTAAACGTTAGTTTACTGGGTTAATTTTGTTTTCAATTTCGATAATATTTCTGAGGAATTGAGTAGTTTTTTATTTATTATATACTATAACACGTACTTAAAATAATATGTATGATTTGACGCAACAACTTCACCTAAATATTATCGGGACTTGTATTTGATCTAAAAGTGTGACGATTATAGCTTTTTTTTTTTTTTTTAGTTATTAAAATTACTTTTAATTTTAAACTTACAAAAAAACCTTTTTGGAAACGATCTATATTGAAACAACGTGTTTGCCTATACGGTCATTTTTTAAAACTTATTTCGACGAGACAAATATATTTCTATGGCCTTTATGCTACAAAACTTAAAGCTAACCTTAAAGCAAACTATTTTAAATACGCGAGTATGATTTTCACATTCATATTTTCCATTTTATAAATTGATGACGACTCATAAATTATTTTCTTCCTATGTACAAAACTACTAGCGAATTCGTACTTGTTTTTACGTGATTACATAAAAAATGTTATGTTGACGATATAGTTAACGAATAACCGTGTCTTGGTCCCGTTTAAAAACAACGAAAACATGAATTTCGCTGGTTTATTCCCAAACAGTGAAGTGACCTTATTTTTCGGATCACTTAACGTGGAAGACGTTGAGTAAACATTCTTATAAGGTTTTTTTCTTTTTAAACCTTTTTGACGTACGAATGAAAAAATAACCTGTTTATTATTCAGTTAAATTTTTCACTCTAGCTGCGATATCTATTTTTATTTTCATGGAGGCTCGAATAAGAACCAATAATCAATGGTGTTCAGTATTCCGGGTAACAAACCGATGATTATACACCTGTATATATTATAATAATATATGTATTTCAGTTCATTTTTTCATTGTTCTATATAAAATCACCCGACTGTTTTTGCACAGGTGAGCTGATGATTTTGACCGTGGGCCTGTACTACGGCAATTCGGCACGTAACGCTAACGTGCAGTTCGACGAACGCCGTTTTCTTTTTTACGCCATAACGGTGGAATTGACGTTCAGCACCATCTTCAATGCCGTCCGTACCGTGTACCCCGTACCGTTTCACCAGGACTTCACGTTTGTGGCCGCCTTTTTGCGCAGTCTGTTGACCAACACCTTAGCGCTGTTCATCATATTTTTACCAAAGGTAAGTTTCCCAGCAAAATAAGATCACATTACTGTATCCGACTATATAAACATAAACGCATAACGAGTAATTATAAGATATTATAATTATAAGGCAAGTATAAGATCCAACCGACATTTTTGAAATCGTACATCGATGGTTGCAGATGCGGTATAATAATAGTACACCTCCAAATCGATCAAAATAATGGTGGTGTAAGTCAAGTTGGATAAATTTCATTCAAAAATTGGGCTGTGGAGGAATTTTGTTTTTTCAAAATTTAATAATTAAATTTTATCTATTTACTTTTTTTTTGATTGATCGAATTGAACAAGGATTATGTGTACGTATAAAAGTACGTAACTCCTTTAACGGACTTCGAGCTGAAATTAAAATACATCAGTATTTAAATGTATTTTCGTCACATATACATTTTAGTGTTATTTTATTATTCTGAACAAGGCAATGTAACAATGCATTGCAGGTCTTATTTGTTTTATCACCAGTAGACATTTTTGGAATATTAAATCTGTATCTAGAATTTCATTAGACTGTATTTTAGGATAGAATTTTATTGAAATATTTATTTATTTACAGTGTTTTTTTTTTTTTTTTTTTTTTAATGAAACTTGAAAACATCTTGAAAATATTGTTGAATTTAGAACAAAAAATGTATACATTTTTTTTCCGTAAAATAAATGATTTTGGCTTCAAAAATTGTTTACAAAGCTTTAAAATAAGAAATTATGCTTTATGTAAAAAAAATGCAGATAATCCATGGACCACTTTATTTTTTGTTAAGACTTTAAAAACACTCTTTATTTTAATAATTGTTTTAATCTTTTACTTTGCATTTTTTAAATATTTTAATCTAAGATAATCACTGCATTTCGTGGTTTTAAGACTTTTGGATTACGGTTATTTTAGATAAGATACAAAATGACTGTATAAAAAATTTACTTTACATATTCGATGTAATATATACTAAATCTCAGTATATATGTTTCAAATACAATGATCCATCAAACTGCGATGATTCTGATGCCTTCTTAATTTGGATGATATTTAAATAATTTTAAAATTGAGTAAGTCATAATTGAATTCTAATAACTAACCTGATGGTGGATAGATTGATTATACATTTTTATATTAAACAAAATTATTCTTTCTGTCTCCTGTCTTATCAAAAGTCATAATTTCATATGATTATCGATATACTTATTTGGTGTAATAAGTATTTTAAAAATATATCCTATACTTTTCATCACAAATATGTATAATTCATAATTAAAAGTTTTACGGATTTTTTTTTTTTTTTTCAAACCTTTATGAGCTAATTCAGAATTACCTATAATATGTTGTTTCATTCTCGACCTATGACAGAGTCTACGTGGTGATGTATCAAATCAACAATGAAACTTGTTTATTTTAAATCTAATGTTATGTTCTTACATTAAGAACAATTTAACTTATGTATTTGTATTTGCAATAAGCAGAATTTATACTTAAAATTGTTCTCACTTTAGTTGATACGATAGGCACTACAGATTATATTTTAAATAATTATAATTATAAAAATATATTTTATACAGTAGGTACTATCTCGCTTAAATAAGTATAAATAATATAACATATTATGTGCATACTTTTTTTTATAAATAACAGTACAGGACCGGGTAAATGGTATATTGAACCCTTTGGGCTAAGATAATATTTACTGTTTTAAATTAAAATGTAAATTAAAAATAATTAAAAACAACATAACTTAATTAAAAATTTGTTACTTTTATTTTTTCGAACTGCAAATATCATATCAATTTAACAATTAAGTTTGGTTCTTTTAAATTAATAAAGTAATTTTCGATGTTTATATTTCTGACAAGTAAATTATACATCGATCGTCTATAATGGTAAATTAATTATATTTTTTTATTATATTTTTTCAATGATGAAAATTACTATTCGATTTGTAAATATTGAGTTTTATTAGTAATAAGATCTATTGTTAAATGTAGAGTTAAATATATTAACATAGTTATGAATTTTTAGAGTATATCTTTGGTTCTTGGGAAGAAGGGCTTAAGCCAATCTCGAATAGTTTTCAAAACAAGTAAATCAATTTTGAAAATTGCTACAAGTGAAAATTTAATATATTACTATTACAAATACTTTCTACTTTAGTTTTTCATGCCAAACTAATATTTAGTAACACAATTATGAAAATATTAGGCTTACAAGTTGATTGCAGTTAAGCCATTTTTATTTTATACATTTTGACTTAACTCTTAATTTCAATGAATTCATAACACGGTATAATATTATAATTCTTTAAACTTTCTTATTTTTATTGAATGTGAAATACTTGTACAATTTATAGAAATACTAAATACTAAATTAAAAGTGTTTATAAATAAAATATTAAATATAATATTTAATATTAATAGCCTTTATGTTCTCATATCATATAGGTAGAATTTATGATTCATTTTTTGAACAGAACTTAACACAATAGTAATAATAATAATAATAATAATAATAATAATAATAATTATAACAAATAAAAATTATAACCAATATCATAATTATAACAAAATACCTAATATTTTAACAAATCAAAATAAAACTTAACCTTTTTATATTTAAATACATCATAATAAAATACATCCAAGTATAATATAAAATAACTATAACTATATAATAAAACCTAGTCATCGTGATCAGATACAGTTTCATCGAGATCTGGATCATATGACTGATTTTCAGCACTATCATTAACCATATTTTTGTAAAAATCGTGGTAAATAGTAGGTATTAATGTGAGAAGTTGCAGTAAGTCCCTTTTTATTTCTTTAGATATTGGTACTGGTGCATAATACATTTTTTCCAATGAAAAATTATTGATCCGGTCTCTTCTTTTTAGATTTAATACTTTAAAAAATTCGATTTCACATAAACTAGTTTTATAATACAAAAAATCAATATTAGTACTTCTATATTGCAACCATGCAACATCATGCCAAATAAATTTATTTCTTTTTTCATTTTTTTTGCGCACTACCAAAGGTCCTTTCAACAATTTTTCAAAATTATAAAAGTTTTCTTGATTTATTTCATGAACATGAAAGGGTTTCTTTTTGTTTGTGCAGCTTATAAGTATAGCCCAGTATCTTGGATGTGCTATTTGAATTGCAGAATATTTCTTTTGTTTTTCTATAAGCGAGTGATCTGAGTCACACTACACGTGAGTGTGACCAGGAACTAAGAATTTATGATTTACTTGTTGTAAAGTAGTTATGTTTTTAAGAACGGTATAAAACATAGCTGATATATAAGAATTTTTGTTCTGGCCTGCACATGAGTCTGAATAAAGTATTACTGTTTCCACATTATTTGGTAAATTTAAAAGTTCTTTATAAACGCAAGATGCAATTTCATTTCATTTCATTTTTTTCATTTTAATTCATTGCCCCTTCTAGCAATTGTTTTGTGCCACAAGTAACAAGATGCCTGACCGGTTTCAAGATTATATGTAGAGATATTGTAAGTTTCATACAATCTTTTATAAAAAACAACGGATGTTTCTAAATGTGAGGTCGGCAAGCATTGTTGCAAATCAGAAGTTAGACAAGTTATTGATGGATCTAATTTAAATTTTTCCTTGTCAACTCTTTTGGAATTATATGCATTATCAGCACTTTTCACACGGTGATCACGATCATCAATGAATTTATTTTTATTTTCATCATTAGTTTCCATTTCAATTTTCATTTTGAAAACATCACACTTGTGGCGAGTATCCGCTTTTTTCAACTTAAACTTTAATTTTGTTTTCTTGAATTCCCTTTCATAAATTGTTTTACTTACAGGTTCGTTACACTCGGAACGGTAAAGTTTATAAATTAAAGTAAAATTTAAGTGTGATGGTAAATACTCTGTATCGTTGGTACGGCGAGTATAGTGACTTTCATATGTGGAGAATGATGAAATATGTTTTTGAACATTAAAAATTGCTTTATCAGTTGTTTTGTTAACAGGTAATCTTTTTTCACGGGAATCTAACTTAGGTATACCATAATAGTAATAATATAATATATATACATAATAATACACTGCAGTTTTTTATTTTCAATGACTGAACGTACAAATTTTTCATTTTCATCCAATGTTGTTAGAAAATATTTTTTGAAGCACATTTTTAGGTCCTTTTAATTTTAGGTCGTCTATTAGAATTAAAATAATATTCAAAAGTAACATTTCTTTTCTTTAAAGAATTTATATTTCGTTTCCTAGAACTTATTAAATTTTTTTAAGTTATTTTATTTTATTGTTTTATTTCTATATATATAGTTTTTTTTTTTAGTTATAGATGATCCAATAAAATCTACTCTATGGCCACGAGAGCCCAGATTCCAGTATTCATTGAATATGTTAGATTTAATTCCTTACAGCCAATCTTTATATTTCATATGATATGCAACCATTTCCTTAGAACTAGATTGAGCCTCTATTTTTTTTCCATTTGCTGTTATGTATAGAAGTCCTCTTTGTCTATTTGCCTGTTTTATCAGTTATAATTTTCTAGAATAAGGACGAACAGGAACATCATGTGCCCAAATTAAAGATATCGAAATACGAATAAGACATCGTAACATCGTAAATGATAAACAACGTCAATAGTCAATACTATTAAAATAATATACTATATATTATAATTATTATAGCATTATCGTTATTTACCTCAATTATCGATGTTATAAATATAAAATTAAACGATTTAAATCCTATGTCTTATGGTACAAACGCGTTTGCGATAAGGTAGAAAATATCTTATGTCTAACAATTATAAAATATGTGATGTATTGAAAAGGCCTAAATGGACTTAAGCCAAAACTATCAATCAGAAAAAAAATATATTCGTTCTAAATGGTTTAAGTCATATCATCGATGTATGCCTTTTTTGCCAATCAAAAAGTACATCATATTGACTTAAGATATTCTTATTTTCAGTATAACTTGAATTGAAATATACATACTTATGCCATTTAGACCAAAAAATAAAGTGAAAAAAATTACATAAGGCAAAATGAAAAAAAAAAAAAAAATGCCAAAAATTGACTTAAGCTGTTCTTCTCAGAAACCAAAAATATAATATTATATATATTATTTTAGCATTTTTAGTTGATTAACATAAACATCAATAGACAATAAGTTGAATATAGTATCCAAATTTTTATAATATTTTTATTAGTAGTTATTTGAGTTATTAGTTAAAATAAAATAAGATTAAATAAAAAATAATAAATTGAAAAATATAAGTGTCTAATATATATATGGTATATGTATGTATATATATATTGCATATACACGGGCATTAATAATTAACATTGTTAGGTATGGTATCAAAAAAAAGTGAACGCTGAACTTCGAAATGCCTCTATGAATCAAGAACTGTCTGATTCATTGAAACCTGAGATAATCGATAAAGACTTTAGAGATATGAATATCTCAGAAATGACTGCGGATGAAATAAGGGTAATATTTTCATATTTTAGTACGATTGAAGATTTTGAACTTGTCAAATAATCCACGTATCATTTGCGTAAAACTTAAGTAATATTTAGTTTATTTAGTCACTAGAAAAGTGTTTCGTACAGTGGCGTCATTTCAGTTTTTGATAGGGGGGGGGGGGGCAATATTTTTGACCGGCCCATACTACCGGGGGAAATATAAAGTTTCACTCACACGCTTTAACTTATACTTAAGGTAGGTACATATTTTATTTTAATAATAAAGAATTATTCAAAAATTATTTTATTCATGCAATTGTTAATTTTAAAATTAATTAAAATTTCTATTGTTAATAAAATCATTTTGTACTTAATGATCATTATTTACGTTTGGATTTAGTTGAATAATAAAGTTCTTGAATTAAATTGTATTTATATCACCAGGAATTTAACATTTAAATAAATGTATATTCATTTTATTAATTTAACTCAAGGAAGAAAAACAAAACATTAAAAACAGAAGTAGAGAGAGATATAAAACATTTTAATTGAAACTACTTACCTGAAAATGTCTGTTTTTAATCAGTATTAACAAGTATTAAAAAAAAAAAAACCATTTTATACTAATTAAACGTTTTTTTTTTTTTTTTTAAAACACATAATTATTTAGCCATTCAAAATACCGAGATTGTAATTTGTAACGTATTCTCACTAATCTACATTTTACTCTTTGCATTAATTAGACTATACTCTTGCAGTTATAAACTTTGCGTAAAAAGTTTTTACTTATACAGTATCGAATAATTATGAATTTAGTTATTTTTAACAAGAATCAGTAAGTGCAATGAAAGATTTTTAACTTAAAAATAAAAGTATATTCGAATATTAACACAGTAGTCTTGAAGTATAATTTATATACCATAATTGCATAATCTGTCAAATATATTCAAGTTACTATAGTAATGAACGTCCTTTTATATCTCAGAGCAAAATATTGTTTAGATATAACACCCCTTTCGCTAAACTGTGAAAGTGAAAACGCATGAAATCGGTCAATTATAGTTCTTAGTAAACTATTTACAATATTTATCGTTGTAATTAATTTTTGACTATTAGAGGTTAAAAAATGTATTAAACATTTGATGTACGTGGATTATAGTAATAAAAAAAATTATGTATGTGAAAATAGTTAATGATTTTAAGATTAATTTACTATTGCTGCATGATCGTACGGATTTAATTAAAATGCTAATTGTAACGACACAAAAAAAGACATATTGTTTTAAAATTATAAGAACATGAAAAATAAAGACTGCTCAAATGTTTTTTTTTAACGATCTATGTGTATACATTTTTAATGTACCTATAGTCGTCCGGCATGCACAATACGTATATATATATATATATATATATGAGTTATAACATAATAAATTATAATTATTTGGTAAAATAAATAAATAATTATTCTAGGAAGAATTCAATCGTGTGTACGTCCAAATGGGATTATTACGGGATAAAACTATATGTAAGAAAAACCCTCATATATCTAAAAGAAAAGGTGGAAAGAAATTGCCACATAGACGATTTTCATTACAGGTAAATAAACTGAGCAAGCTGAAACCAGAAGTGGAAAATTGTATTGAATGGTTGAATAAAATAAACACAAAATGTTTTTTTTCTATGTTTTCGGAATGGTTACAGAAGAAAGGAAGCAAAGATAAGGTACGCACAGCACTGTTGGCCGATATGAATTCGTATACATTTATTTATTTTTTTACACATTTATTAATAATTAGTATAAATAATATGAATAATTATTAATGTCTCGGGCTGTGTTGGTTTGATTTCCGACTTTTTTTAGTCGTCAATAAAAATCAGGAAAAAAAACAAGGACCTAGACTCGTCAGAGATAAGTGAAACGAACGATGCTTACGAAGTGTCCAAATCTCCTGAAGACTCGGTGGTTAGCAACGAAGACGTAGCTCAGTGTAACTGCGTGCAAGGTAGTTGCAGTTGTCATACGACATCGGGTGTAGATCAGCCGGTCTGCACTGAATCTAACGATGATAACGGTAAGATAATGCCATTTTAAACCAACAGTGAATCATTGTTTACAATATTGTATTGGTTAAACTTTATAAATAAAAATTGCATTATAATAACATAAAATATATTAAAATATTTACCTGGTCAGTATCTATGTAACGAATATAAATTCAGCTAGTTTACGCTGCGAAAATCCTAGTTGCAGTGATAGTAGTAGTAGTAGTAGTAGTAGTAGTAGTAGTAGAAGTAGTAGTAGTAATAATTACTACAATTATTATATTAGAACAGTTAATTAATAACATTTGAAAAGTTCTCAAGAATCGAAATGGAACCTTTCGTATGAGATTTATGCAATTAAAGATAAATATTCAAATGTTTTCTCCTTAAAGTATTTTAATCAAAAAGTTCAAAATTCAAAACAACATTTTTAACAGTTTATTATGTCTTATTTAATATGTGAATACATACATACAGAACAACATATATACAGAATTGTTCGATACAGAACAACATGAGTTAAGAAAATAAAAATATATTTCGCCAGTAATTATTTTTCACATATTTTTATAAGAAAGTATAAACATTTAATCTTTTAAAAAGCACTTTGAAAAAAAAAATCTTGCTTTTTCTACTAATTAAAATTAAATTTATAATACAAACTAATTTTTACCAATTCATTTTTTAATTTTTGTCTTTTATTAAGTATTAACTTATGTGTTATATGTATTAAATTTGTATTTTTTTATTAACTTAATAAAAATTTGTTCTCTGCTCATTTATCCACCTGATTGGTGATTAGTGTAGGATCAATTTGAAAATATGATAGATTTTATAAGAGTTTACAAAAACTGCTTACTTTTATTGATTTTAAATACTTTCTTAACTCAATTATCGAGCTAAAACTTGATAAAGGTACGTAATTAATGACAAACGAAAGCCACAATGAATAATGAATTCGGGTTTTATGAATTTTAATCATGTCTCCAAAAATGTTATATCTACCATGGAAAATGTGTACCTACAGCCCATGGTAAATGACTAGGTGCGAAATAATTATAAAATATAATTTTATTTATGTATGTTATTTATACACATAAAAACTTTTCAACTATTTTTATTTTTTTTTATATTAATTTCTAATGGTATGCAATTGCTAATTATTAATGTATTAATGTATTATCGATTTATCAATAGTAGACCAAATAGTTAATGCTGAGTATTTTATACATATATATATATATATATATATATATATATATATATATATGTTACGGTAATAGTACGAATACCGGTAAAACCTAGGATATACATTATTGTTTGGTCAAACCCTGAATGATTTTAGCAATTCGTACTTTTACAAACGAGTTTTGGTAAATCTTAGGATCGACAATCAATGTTTGTAAAAGTCCGAAATTATATATTTTTTCCGATTCTCTGATAATTCTTACCTATATTTATTCTTGAGCATTGTACGTGTATGGTGCATCATAGTACCACATGACATTCGTGTTGATATCAATATTGTTCAACATAATAATTAGTTTTGATTACATAGTTCATCATGATTGCTGGTCGGTATAAAAAGCTACGGTATCGGTTTGCCTTTTATCGTATAAATCATTCGACGATAGTGCCATCGCGCGCGGGGGAAATGTTTGTAGACAGCATGTGGGTAATCGCGGAGATATATTGTAGGCACACTATTATAACATGTAATTATGACAAAGATGTATATTTTTATTTAATATAAATATTAATATTATTATTAGGTACATATTAAAACGAAAATTTAAACTTATTTCAACTTATTATTACATATTACCTATTACGATCGTTTTTTTTTTAAATTTTTTATTTTTATTAAGAAAAAATATTTATTTGTGCAGGCTTGATTACCGTGACATCTTGAGTTGCACAATACATTTTTAGATCAGCATTTACAGCGATTTGTAATACATTTTTTTTAAACAGTCACACCTTATTAACCCTTGTCTTCCAGTCAAAGATAGTTGTGATATCGCTTGACAAATTCTAATTTCATTTTCTGGATTATTGTCGATTCCAAAAAGTTCTCTTCGCATAGAGTGAACTGATTTCGAGTAAATAGTTGAGATAGTGTTCCCGCTTTTGTACCCAAACGATAAAAATCTCCATCCATAACTTGTTATACCACAGCGAGTAATGTGCGTGCATCAAATTTACTTCTATCGACTTCTGAGATTTTAATTTTAACTGTTTGTCCAGTTAATACATTCGATATTTGTTTGCTTGATATTGACTTCATTTTTGTGGCTTGTTTTTGTAGTTCCATATGCGATTCGTTTCGGTGTTGCTTAATTGTTTGTACCCGATCTGTTATTTTATTATCTTCAGTTTCTCTCGTTCCTTCTACTTCCACAGGTTCTTTGACGACTCCAATTTCTTCATCTATCTCGACAACTTCAATTGATTTTAAGTTTAGGTGTGTAAGTACTCCCTCTAAATCTTCTTTTGTTTGAAGGTTTGTTAATATATTTTTTGGAATGATTGAACTTGCTAATCCCATTTTCATTTTAGTTCCAAACATGGCTTCATATGGAAAGCGTTCTATTCCTAGACATGTATAAAAATACTTACATAATATATAATTATATAATTTATGCATTAATAAATACAATTTATTAATTGTAATATGTATTATACTATACAATATAATTTTAATTATATTATACAAAAAAATAAATACGAAATTAAATTAGTATTACTTTCAATACAATAGTATATAATAATACGTACTAGAATGAAAAGCTCCGTTCTTCATAGCTCGCACGAATCTTAAAGACTCTGACTATTTTGTTGTGTTATTCGTTTCCATCCAGATTGCAATCATACTTGATTGGCACGTTCAACAGAACCTTGATATTGACTGTGACGAGCTTTTCCATGAACTATCTTCACTTTAGGCCACATACTACATAAATTCGTAATAACAGCGTTAACAAACTCTCTCCCGTTGTCTGACTGGAGAATATTTGGTGCACCGAAAAGGGTAAAAATATCGAGTAAGCAGTATGTGACTTTTTCAACCCGTTTGAACTTCAGTGGTCGTAAAATAAAAAATTTTGTTAAATGGTCTTGATACACCATTATGAATTTATAATCGTTATCAGAGTTTGCTTGCATATCAATGAGGTCTACTTGACAGCGTGAATTAATTTCGGTGTGTATAATTGGTTTAACAGTAAGACCTTTTTTGGGCATACTATGTTTTTTTTGACATGGTTCACATAATTTTAAATAAATATTTATTGCCTCAATGTTAACATTTTAATACTTGCTATTAACTTCATACATAATCCGTTTTCCACCTCCATGGCCTGTTGCAATATGAGCATCGTGGATAATTTCATATATCTCATTATATCGAACATAATAATGTATTACTTCGGAGTCGTCATTCATCGGAACAATCAGTTTTTTTCACCAGTAATATTGACAATATCAAACCGTTTAAGTCGCCGAAAGTGAACTGTTTTTTTCACACTAACAGATTTAGCTTCTTTAACTTCACTTATAAATATATTATATTTTTCATCAGTTAAATAAAAATTATTTTTGTCATTTTTTAACTCCACAACACCATTTAAAATTTCATAAAATCGTATTTTAAACGATATATTGAATAATGTGTATACTCGTATTACTAACCGCGACAATTGTAAAACGAATACTGCTTATAAAATTACTTCCTGCAGTTGGCCCTGATATCAATTTATTAAATTATTCTTCTATTAAACCTGTTCCATATCTTAATCATTGAATCATTGCTTACAACTTTTATTATAATTCGTATCTCAGTCAAAAATTGAATTAGGTATATAAATTAAAACTATTGGTATCAACACCAATGCACAAGAATAAATACAGGTAAGAATTATCAGAGAATCGGAAAAAATATATGATTTCGGACTTTTACAAACATTGATTGTCGATCCTAGGATTTACCAAAACTCGTTTGTAAAAGTCCGAACTGCTAAAATCATTCGGGGTTTGACCAAACAAATAATGTATATCCTAGGTTTTACCGGTAAATCCTAGGTTTCACCGGTATTCGTACTATTACCGTAACACACACACATATATATGTATAAGTTTGCTTGACATTTATTTTGAATTGAAAAAGTACTGTTAAAAGCTGAACACTTATAATACAATAAGCTTTTAGAAAAATAATGGTAGTTAGTATCACGGAGACAAAACAAAATATTATATTTAAGAAAATTTTAAATTAAAATTTTAGTCATTAAAGTATTGCTGCTAATATCAAAAATGTCTTTTATACTAAATTAAATCCACTATAATTGTCGCCGTATTGTGGAATTTTTATTTTCAATTTCGTTAAAAACATGGTTCGATACATATTTTTTGTTTATTGAATTCCAATCATAGACGCCCACTTCATAGGTCAAGGGGGTCAGTCGATCTCTCGAAAAAAATTGGGTGGTTAAAAATATTTGCAATTTGTTATATGTTGTTTAAATTTCGAATACGTGAAACCTGATTAGACCTAGGTTCATGCCTTAAATGCTAAGTTCCATTACCTCGAGCTCAAAAATTACCTTTATTGGAGTTGCTTTGCTAATGTTTTTGGGTAATGAGTGGGGGGTGGTCGGTGTTAATATAATATGTTCGACCCATGTCGGTTAGAATAAGTAAGCGCCACTGATTCCAATTAAAACTTTTGAAGGGAATTCATGTTTTTCATATTTACCAACACAACTGTAATGTTAAATTTACATAGCTACCATTTTTTAAAACCTACACGAAAAAAAACACTTATGTATACGTATTTTCAAAATATACTAATTTTTAATCGTATTGAATGTATAATTATTGGTAAATTTTACACTCTTACTGTAAATTTTACATTTACATTTTAATTTTTTATGCAAAAATTTTTCGCCATAAACATTTTACTCATAATATGTTTGGCCGTCACATCGAGATTATTTGAACATAATCTTAATCGTAGTTCAACAGCTTAATT